TTGATGGTTATTATTTAATTATATTGATAATATTGAGTATAATAAAATAAAAGTTAAAATTGAGTTAAAATTTGAGTATGAATTAGGTTTATTTGTACGTAAACACACCCTAAAGTCTCAATTCAACTAATATTGGTTCTAACGTTTAAAAATTAATCATAATTGTCCAAACATTTTTAACCAATCATTTTTTTTTATTAACTCAAATCTAACTCCATTTTAACTCAACACAATATTATCAATATAATTAAATAGTATCAACCAGTCATTCTTACACATTACACATTACATCAACTTTAATTCACTATTTTTTCACTCACATAATTTTAATTAACCATCACTTCACACAATTTCTCTCCTACTTATATATCAAATTATTTTTAATTATTTTATTTTAAATATTATTTTAATATAAACTCAAAATTCCACTAACAAGTATATACCACATTTTTTAAAATTAACCAAAAAAAAAAAAATCTTATATCCAAGAATCCCCTAAAAACTAGTGGTTGCCAACTTTCTCCGCCACCAATGTACTCCAAACTTTCAAATGACACCTCCCAACCAAAAATCGGATATCTTAATTATCAGAAAACTTCAATTGAACCTTTTTCTATACACACATGCTCATAATATATTCGTAGATCGATTATAGATGTATCAATTTTCTGACATCGACAAATCATACCTCATTCTCTTCGTCTCACCATGAACTTGAAAAGCCCTAAATTAATTTTAAAGATTAAAATTTATTATTAATTGAGTTAAAACTTTTTTTGTGTCATATTAAGGTTTTTAATCGATGAAACAAATTGTCAATTTCGATTACATTAAAGGCAAATTGTCAAAAAAAGGATGTTAATTTTTTTTTTTTTTCTTTCTACCTAATCCAAAAATTCTTGTGTGTCAATAAGCATTAATTACGGCATAAACATGCCGCAATGTGAAAATGTTCGGTAGGTTGTACTTAGTACCCAATTCAACCAAAAGATTTTCTTTCCCCTTTATCAGTACTACAAAATAAAAAATCTATATATATATAATTACTAGCTCTTATACATTTAAGAAAACCCCATAAATTATACCTAGGTGGCACTTTTACATTTTCCCCCCAAAAACCGTTACTTTTCATTTATTTAACCTAATTAATAGATAATCAATACACTAATCAATTTAAAATACAAAAAACATTTTGAACTTTTGATTACTGACAGTTAACCATATAATGTGTTACCGTATAATTTGATTAGATATTATTATTGTGGTTACATGTAAATTATTTTTTTTGGAAAATAAAAAAAGTATATGAAACTCCTAAATGAATTATAAATAATTTTAAAAAAATTACATACCAAAATATACGTTACATCCAATCTACTATACGCAATTTAACAAAAAATCAACTCCTTTAATTGTAAATTTGGCTGCAAAAACGTGAAAGAAAAATAATTAATCATTATATACATACAAATAATTCACAATATTTTATATACATTTGTGCAAATGCACATGTAGAATACTAGTAAATATAAAAAGCCGACATGATTTTTTCTCTACAAATATAATTATTTATTTATTTATTTATTTATATTGTTCAATCTGAACAAAATAATGGCAGGCCGACCCGACCCGACTGCGTGGGCCCGAGAAGGACATTTTTGGTATTTCACCTCTACATTTCGGCTCTCATTTACGGCGCGTTTCTGTGTATATATATATGCGCACAACAATTTGTGATAATTCGCAACAGCTTTTTCCTTTTCTTCTCCCAATTAAATTATCTCTTCTCTGTTTGTCCATTCTCTCTCACACAGTACACACTTGAATTGTGTGTTTTTAGAGAGCATCTTTATTTTCATTTTTTTTTGGAGCTGAAGATTTTAGCAAAATAAAATTGCAGGTTCGTGGATTTTTATTTTATTTTATCTTTTTCTATTTATTAGTTTTTTGTATGTAGTTTACCTGTTTTGTGGGATCTTTATTTAGCTCCCTTTTAGTTTTCGAGATATGCTGCAGTCTCGTTACGAAACAATTCCGTCGGGATTTGTAGCCATTAGATCATCGTGTAATCGTCAGGGATAGTTGATCTAACGGTTATAAATCCCGACGTAATGATTCCATAACGGGACCGTAGCATCTCCTTTAGTTTTCTATTTAATTAGTAAAAAATAATTATTAGTTGGATTTTTTTTTTTTGACAATTTTTTTTGCAGTTCTTTTCATTAATTAGTGAATAGTTTATGTTTGTTTTTTTTAATTCTTTTGAATGTGTTATGCTCGATATTTAATAGTTAGGGGGCCCAATATTTATTGGGAGATTCTATGGCTTTTCATGGAACTATTCTGTCGGGTTTGTAACAGTTAGATCAATTATCCACGACGATTATATGAGGATCTAACGGTTATAAACTCGATTGAATGGTTCCGTAACGTGACTGTAGCATTTTCTCATTTATTACAAATATTATTGGACAAAACAATCATGGTATATATTTTGCCATCTTCCCTACAATGGCCGACTAAATTAAAGCACTCACTTTGTGTGCCACATGCTTGAATTAATATGTCTTAGTACAATAGTGGCAATTTTTTCTTTTTTCTTTTTTTTTTTTGGATGAATTTTTATTTTTTTGAAAATTAACCACATGTGATGTTTCTTTCATGCAAATTGCAATAACTTGGACCATTAACTTTATTTTGTTTTATTCAAAATTGTAGTTATTATTAATCAAGACTCTAATACCCCATTTTCCTCTGCTTAGTTTTCATATCACAACTCGAATTTGCCAAAAAAAAAAAAAAGAATGCTGGAAAAATTGGAGGAGAAATTCGACCCGGAGATGGTCGTGGAGCAATTCGAGCTTCTATCCATGGATGCAGAGAGAATACAGAAAGAGACACTCAAACAAATACTCGAAGAAAATGGCGAAACCGAGTATATTCTCAAATGGGGCCTTTCCGGAAAATCCGACCCTAATAGCTACAAGGCTCGTGTCCCCATCGTCACTCACAAGGACTTGGAGCCTTATATTCAACGAGTCGCCGATGGCGAAAAACGGCCCATTCTCACCGGAAAACCCATTTCTGCTATTTCTCTTAGGTATGGAAATATATATATATATATATATATTACAAATATGCACATATCTTTTTATTTAAACATGTTGTATTTTAAAAAGTAACATAAACAGAATAACAATAATTCAACCATTTCGTCAACCGTTAGAAAACTATGCCCGATAGTTATATGATGATCTAACGGTTACAAACCCCGACGAAATGATTTCGTAACGGGACCGTAGCATCTCCCTCATAATAATAATATGCATTTTTTTTTTTTTTTTGTTTATGCTGAATGAGTATGACTGGTCGACCCAAACTTGACGTGTTTATGTATTTAGCATCTCTTGAGGGGTGAGTTGTGTAATTTACAAATTTCTTGGGGAGTGTGGTCCAATTCTTGGGATAAGGAATTGTTTTGGCATTTGTGTAGTGAAGACTTTATATTTACATTTAATTGATGTAACACAGTACAAAATTTGCAGCTCGGGCACCACTCAAGGCAAGCCAAAGTTTGTACCTTTCAACGACGCTTTAACTGACAGTACCATGCAAATGTACAAGACCTCTTTTGCGTTCAGGAACAGGTAAATCTTATCTTCTTACATATGCATGTGATGATACTTTTCAGTTTTCAACAGGCCGACACACAAAACCGGGCAACCCCTGTCCGGACCAATAAATTTTCCGACCGAACTTGTCTAACATGAAAACCGTTCGAGAAATCATACGGCCGGTTGGAGGATTATTAGCCCTGTCCGAGACTTCGATTAGTAGCTTACGAATGCAATAAAATTTCCCCTTTTTTGCAGGGAATTCCCGATCGAGAACGGGAAGGCCTTGCAGTTTATCTACGGCAGCAAAGAGTTCAAAACGAAGGGCGGCCTGCCGGCCGGGACGGCCACAACCAACGTGTACCGCCACCCGAAGTTTAAAAACACGATGGAGGCAATGCAAACGCCGTGCTGCAGCCCGGACGAGGTCATATTCGGTGACAACTACCACCACTCCCTATATTGCCACCTCCTTTGCGGCCTAATCTCCCGACACCAAATCCAAGTCGTCTCGTCCACATTCGCCCACAGCATCGTCCAAGCTTTCCGCGCGTTCGAGCTCGTCTGGAAGGACCTCGTCCGCGACATTCGGGAAGGGTCTTTGACCGGTCAAATAGTATCGAAACCTGTCCGGTCGGCCATGGGTAGGATTTTGACGAGGCCTGACCCTGACCTAGCCGACTCGATACAGGACGAGTGCTTGAGGCTTAGCAATTGGTACGGTTTGATTCCGGCTTTGTTCCCCAACGCCAAGTACGTGTACGGGATCATGACGGGCTCGATGGAGCATTATTGTGAAAAGTTGAGGCATTATGCGGGCGATTTGCCTCTGGTGAGTGCGGATTACGGGTCGTCCGAGGGGTGGGTCGGGGTAAACGTCGACCCGCTTGCCCCGCCGGAGGAGGTCACCTTCGCCGTGCTTCCGAATGTGGCTTTTTTCGAGTTTATCCGTTTGAGCGGCGGCGGGGTGGAGGTGGCGGCCGCGGAGCCCGTTGGGCTCACGGAGGTCGAGGTCGGGGAGGAGTATGAGGTGGTGGTCACTAATTTTGCAGGTAATTACATTTTACACTTAAACTGTGTCACAAAGAAAATTGTGCTATCGGTATATGTATCAAAAAGCATGACATGTATGCGTATATATAAATGTATAGGATTATACCGGTACCGGCTAGGGGACGTGGTCAAGGTCAAAGGGTTCCACAACGCGACCCCTTTGCTCGGGTACGTGTGCCGCAAGAACCTCATCCTCAACATCAACGTCGACAAGAACACCGAGAAGGACCTCCAGCTGTCGGTCGAGCAGGCCGCGGTAGTCCTTGCGGAGGACAAATCGGAGGTGGTCGACTACACGAGTAGCGTGGACGAGTCGGTCGAGCCAGCCCGCTACGTCGTCTTCTGGGAGGTCAGCGGCCAGCCTAGTGAAGACGTTCTCAAGGAGTGTTGTAACCGTCTGGACGGGTCGTTTTCGGACGCGGGCTACGTGAGCTCGCGCAAGACGGGCACCATAGGGCCCCTCGAGTTGAGGGTGGTGGGGAGGGGCACGTTTCACGAGGTGATGGATCACTACGTGGGGATGGGGGCGGCCGTGAGCCAGTTCAAGACTCCGAGGTGCATTGATAGGCGGGCAAACGGGCGGGTCGTGGAGATCTTGACTCGAAATGTGGTCAAGAGCTATTCTAGTTGTGCATATTAAGAATTGTGTTTGTGTGTTGTTGTAATGTTGTAATGTGTGATTAAGATAATTTCGATCCTACCGGTGAGGGTGCTGCTCTAATCAGGTTTTTTTATGATCGGCACGTGTGTGTGTGTGATCCAACGGTAAAAAATCCGATGAGAGTAATGCTTTCAACGGTAAGATCGACCACAAAGTGTGATTAGAATGTAATTTTGAAAATTGTACGTGTGTTGTATTTTCCTACATTTTCTACTTGAATGAAATATTAAAATAGTTGAGTTAATCTATTTTTCGATATCAGTTTACAACTAGACGAATTATATATGGACAAAATCTATATCATTAATTTCAATAATATTATAAGAAAATGTTACGGTTCCGTTGCGATGCCATTTCGTCGAGTGTTTTAAGTGATACATAAATTTGTTAGGTGTATTTTGGACATAAACCTGACATAACGTGTAGGTAATTGTTATATTTCTAATATTAGCCAATGCCAATCATGTGGCTAGTGGCTCATGCTAATTATATTTCTTCCTTTTCGTATATTCTCAAACCTCCCACTTTGTCTGGGAACAAGACGATAATAATGATTAAGCTTAGAGATATGAAATGCTTTTGTTATAATTATATGAATAAATATCTATATCTATATACATATAAAAAGGTTTGACATTTACCTAAAATAGTAACTGAATTCCCGCCTAATAATTCGATTTTACCTTTTATAGTAAATTTTTGAAAAAATATCTTGAAAAAGTTGCGATTTTTTTTTTTAATTCAAATAAAAAAAATCAATTTAATAGTTGTACAAAAAGTGTGCATTGTCCGGCTTACAAAGGAAAGTAAATAAGTATAATTGGTATACATGATCTGGTCCAATAAAAGTAAAATATTTCTCATGATCCTCCAAAATATTTCTCAGGATCCTCCTAAATCATAAAGGAAAGTAAATAAGTATAATTGGTATACATATATACATATATATATCTATATATATATATATGTGTGTGTGTGTGTTATATGATAAACACCAACTATTCTTTTATTGCACATATGTATTTACATGTTATATGATCCATCTAATTTTAATTATTAATTAGAATATTAGTTTTATTATATAATTTACAAATATAATTAAATAAATATTTGTACAATAAGTTGAGAATGGAAAAAATTATTCATGTTAATTGATTTTAACTCATTATTTTAAACACGTCAATTTTTTTTTTAAAAAAAAAGGTAAAAATCTAGAATTACTATTAAATTTTTTAAAATAAAAATATAAATATATTCAAATTTTTATTAACGAAAAATTATTAAATTATGAATTTTGATAATACGAAACTTATATAGGTACACATGATATCATTCATTAAATTGGTTGATATCTTATCACAGTCTTTATTTCTTTCCTTTTTAAAAAAATAAATGATTCGGTTAATATTTAACAAATCAATATTTGAAAGTTTTAGCCCTACCTGGCGCACTGATTTCTGCTTATTGTAATATCTCCTTAACAGCTATTCAAATTGGAATTGTATATCTTATAATGTTTTAAAACATTTATAATAGAATTCGTCGTGTTTTGGTTCTTATACTACGTAGTGTAAATAAATTTTCGTGTTGCGTAAGCTATAATAGTATATTAGTTTGTTAGAAATATCAAAATATTTGCATATAATAAATTTGGATGGTTAAATTAAAAAAAATAATCTTAATACATAATATATGACAATAAATTTTAGAATAAAATAATAGTTGAGTATTATAATAACTAAAAATAGGGTGATTTTATTTTGGTGCCAAATGTCCGAATTTAAATGTTTTGAATTTCATTTGGTATAGATAAAAGTGTAATTTGAAATTTTGAAAATACAACAAGTGGTATGAATTTTATTTAGTATGTGTATGAAAGTCGAATTTTAGGTTGATTTGTTATAAACTTAAGGTGATATGATTCTCAATTTTAGCATATTTCCATAATAACTAGCCATAAGATATTGATGATAATTCGATAAATTGGTATGTATTCAAGTTGAAAATTATAAAGATCTTTGAACAAATATCTGTTAATAAAATTTAAAATTTGTAATTTTATTCTAGAAAATTAGTTGATTAATTTGAATGACATTAGTAAAATATAAATATATGTAAAATATATAACAAGATAATGTTGTAGTTCAAATTTTGGTTCCAAATTTAAAATATAAATAAGTAATTATTTATAACTTACGGGTCAATATTAACTTGGACGTAAATAGAATAATCAATTATTTTATTGTTTAATAAATAACTCAACTACTTTAATTTATTGATTTAAATAGTTTATACAAAAATAAATTTATTTTAATTAATGAAACAATATAAATTTAAATATTATACTTATTATTCACATAGATTTTTAAACATATATATGAAATTTTTTTATCAAATAATATTTTTTATGGACCACATTGTATTCAAATTGAATTTCTGAATAAAAAATTTAAAACGACACTTATTTTGAAATGGATATAATGTATTTTATTACCAGTTATGTCCACAGTACGGGTTGTGTACTAAATTTATACAAACATGTTTTATGTATTTTTTTCACAATATAATTGATATAACATTTTAACTACATTAATATAAGTAAATTATATTACATATTGCTTTTATATTTTTAATTTATATATCTAATGAGCATTTCTAATTTACTAATATTAATGAAAATATCTTACCCGTGCATCACACGGGATTCGTACTAGTAATTTATGTATGTAAATTTAATGAAAAATATATATGAATGAACAGAAAATCTATGGAGCAATCGGATGGCTCCCTTATGGAGCCATCCATGACTTTATGTACTGACACATGTCCAATGTGCATTTATTGCAGGACACATGTCAATACATCATTTGTGAATAACAATGGATGACTCCATAAGTCGAGCCATCCGATGGCTCCATAGCAAAACCGTATGAATGAATGTTGTAACATGTTACTTGTGACAATTATGTGTATATATATAATTTTATGTAAGTAAATTTTATGGAAAATATATATATTGTATTCTTAAAATATGTAATTTTATTGGGCATGCCTTATATTTGATAAATATATATTTTTTTATGTATTTATATATTGTCAAGTGGAATGCCACTCTAAAACAATACAAAAGAAAGAGGCTTTTACGAGAGAAATTAATAAAAACCACGAATAGTGGTGTTTTTATTTTTATGTGTTTCGTGTGCTTACTTGAGTCAGTTTTAAGTTATTTTCTTGTTCAATTGGTCTATTTTAGTTGTTTTGTGTGTTTTTATTTGTATTTTGTGTTTTTGTGTTTTTTGCGTACTTCCGTGTGTCTTTTTCTGTTTTATAAGTCCGTTTGTTCGAGGTTGAAAGAGGAGGAATCGAGCCGAGTACCGAGCACACATGTCTAGCACAAATTCTCATGGAGTCCGAGAGCAATGAAGAGACCCGAGAAACTTCTACGGAGGCCCGACTAACTTGAGAGTTTTTCGAGGTTTATGTGCCGTTTTCGAAGAGTCCCTCGAGATCTCGAGCATTCGGCCAGCATTTCGCCAGGCGGACCAAACTTCGCCCGCGACATGGAGCACTCGCCCGGCATTCCGCTGGGCGCACGGACCTTCACGCGCGCCGAGAGCCTGCGCGGCCGCAGCTCACACTCGTCGTGCGGTCTTCTTTCGCCCGAGGCCAAGCGACGCTCGTTCGGCTTTGACCGGGCGGCCTCGATTCGCCTGCTAGAATGACAATCGCCCGGCTTTCGTCAGACGACCTTGATTCGCCCACACAAATTAACACTTGGTCAGATTTCGTCGGGCAGAAATTGGGCGAGTATGAAATTTTAAATGTGTGTGTTTTAGTGTATGTTTTTGGTGTACCTATAAATAAACTTGATGCTTTGTATTTTAAGAACAATTTCTCATTTTGCTAAAATTTTCTTCTTAGTTTTTTCTCTCTTCTCTCTCTAGTTTTATTTCTCTCTCTAAGGGCTCAAAGACCCTATTTTTCTTGTAATATTTCTTCCTCAAGATTGCAACTTTTCGGATTATTTCTTCTGGATGCACTAGAGACTTGGAGACTTCGTTTAAGGTCCGGTTGGAGACTTAGTTGAAGGTCCAAGATCTCGTGAGTTTTTATTGCCTTTATTTATTGGATTTTTCTAGGGTAAAGGTAGGAACTTTTATGAGTAGAATATGCATTCATCCTCGTAGAGCGAGAATTGATTGAGAGCTTAATTGATTCGCGAGTGACAATTGTTTGATTGCATGTTCTCGAACCTATGAGTGCCTTCTTTCCATCTCGGGTCTTAGGGTACCTTGTTCTTTTTCTCTCTATTTTTCTTTTTCTTGCCATTTGAGGACTTGCTTGCTTTAAAAATTGAATCTTGCTTTCGTTCTTGCTTAAAGTTGTGATCTTTAGCTTTAAACAACCACCAAATCATGCGAGTAGAATATTTAGGATCTTATTTTCCTTTTTGTGTTAGTCGATCATTATACGAATTCGTGTCCGAACAACCTTCCTCGATAGACACGACCCAATGTCGGGATTTATCTCGTACTCGACTAAAAAACTACAAAACAGAGACATTTTTTCCCAAAAACCTATTTTGTCACTCTTCGAGAAAAGAAAAATCCCCAAATCTTTGAAAATCTAATTGTCATTTTTCTTGGCCTCCCTGCCGGCGGGTGCGCCACACCTAGCGATGTTGGTTGACATCAGGTCGGCTCCAGTTAGGCTATATTCATGGTGACCTCGCGGTCTTCTCTTCCATCGTGGATTTCTTCCTTGTCTAGATGCCATAGAGGTGGTAGGTGGGTTGTCGTCGGCTTGTCAATGGTGCGCGAGGTCTAGGCTGGTGGTTGCTTACGGCCTTTGAGTTCGGTGTCTCGGCCGGCTCCTAAAATATGGTTGTCCCTGAGATTAGGAAGTCGGATTCGTCTGGTGGTGGTGGCCTTTTTGGCTACGAGTGTCGACGATTGTGGTGGGAGAGGGTGTAGGTTCGTGTCTCCTAGGGCTGACCGTGGTGGTGAATTGTGAGAGGGTTTAGGTCTGTCGGCCCAAGCTGAGTTAGCAGTAGGGGGAATTTCTTGATCTTATGTTGGGTCGTAGGTTATGTAGCTTTTCTATTTGGTTGATTCCCTAGGTGATGGTTTGAGTGAAAACAGTTCGGGGTGTTGTTCGGCTTGTGGGGATGGCGTTATTCTAGTAATAAGTTTTCTTCTCGTGTTTTTGTATTCTGTTGTTGAGAGTTTGTGTGCGTGTGTGTGTATGTGTTTTTTTTTTTTTTTTGGTTTTGTTCTAGGCTATGATTTCGTCGGCTTTTAGTTATTGCCAAGTCTGTAAATTGTGTTTTATTTATAAGAGCATCTACATTGCTTTGAGTTTAATTTTGTTTGTGTGACATGTAAATAGTTGTAAGCATTGGATGACATGGACAAAAATATATAAAAGTAACAAAATTAACTCAAATGCAAATGCCAAGAGACTAGGTCTTTACTTAAATCTTAAATAGACTTAAGAATAGACCGAGTCTCTTTTTCTTGTTGCCGCATAAGCAGAACACAATCTATTTGCGCTTGTATTGGAGTATATATTTATTTAGACTGGAATCTATTTTTTTTTCAAACAATAGACTTTCCATAAAAAAAACACATAATTACATACTAGAGAACAACTAAACAGCCGAATAAGTCAGTTATTCAACTGAATCTAGTTGGGAGGACTAACCTTAAAGGCAACAAGTCGAGGTAACCTAGAACTAACCTTAACACATCACACTAAAACTACAAGAAACAAGCTCCAAACATGAGAATAACACAATTTTCAAAGGGAGAATAACAAACACCCAAATGGGAACAAAAAACACAGCACCAACAACATACATGATACAACTAAGCACTCACCTAAACACAGAAACATAAGAATAAAGCAACCAAAAACAAGACGCCCTCCCCTTCAGCCGAGCAACATCTAGGACCTTCGCCACCCAAACGACTCCAAAGCGGGAAACAGAAGAGCCTCTAGCCCTCAGCCCAAACACACGGTTCGAGAAACTCCCCCTACGGCCAACTCAGCCCGAATTGACGGACAAGAGACTTCCCTCGAAACACCGCAGCAGACAACTCTGAAAAAGACCAAAGCCAAAACCGCCCACCCCGCCACTTCAAATGACACTCGCAACCCAGAGACCACCGGCACCGAATGAAACAAGACAGAAGGCATAAGCCCCAATCTCCGGCCAATAGTCGCACGCAGCCACAAGCCCAAGACCCACGCCCTTCCCGCGAGCCAGCAACCACCACCACTGCCGCCATGGCATCCAGAAAATTGGACGACGCGCACTCGACAACAATCGCTAGCCCGCTGGAGGAGCAGTCTTACCGGAACCAACATGGAGCCGAGTTCGAAAACCGCCCCTCGAGCTGGACCTTCGCCCAACCAATTCTTTCACCAAGCCCTGGTGACGGCAGCAAGACCCACCCACTGAACCAAATCTGACCACAAAATCGGGCCCTGTCGACCCCTACCTCACCACTAAGGCGACAAACCACACGAAGCCCTAAGCCAGAGGACGGAATCGTCGGGAGCAACTCCCCATCTCAGCCTCAGAAGACGGCGGAGAAACAGAGGAAGAGGCCGGCGGACCCAGGTCGAGACCGCAGCCGCACCCCGCCCCCGTCTACCACCCAGAAGAGACGGAACCACATCAGGGGAGATGACCGGAACGGGTACAGAGGGTGAGGGCTCGCCGGGAAGACATCTCCACGGAGGAGCCGAACTGCCGCAAAAGAGGTGGCTACGCAGACTAGTGTTTCGGCGATTTGAGGAAAAAGTTTCAGAGAGATAACCTTCCAAATCGTCTATTTTCTACTTGACCTGTATATTTTTTTAATAAACCAACTATTGTTGAGGCTCTAAAGTCTAGTTTTGAAAAAAAATGGTGGCACCTGTAGTCCACGTGTCAATTACCTGATAATTGATCAACAAAATATTGTGGATACCAATAATATTTTGGCTTTTCTAAAAAGAACCTCTCAAATAAAAATAAATAATAATTCCTCAAATCGGAGGAGATAAAGAAACAGAGGCTACGCAAAATAGCAAAAGACTCCAAAAATCGCTTATCAAATTTCGTTCATAAAAATTTCACTTTTTTTTATCAGTCTCTTTGTTGGTTTTGGTTTTCCAAACCCAGAAAATGGCAGCGGCAGCTTCCACTTCCATGGCGGCCACCGCCGTCTTAATCCACCGCCAGCCCACCGCCTCCCGGAAAGGCGTCGTGTTCTCTCCCTTGCCGTCGCCCTTTTCACATACTTCATTGAAGCACCTCAAAGGTAACACCTTTTTTTTTTCCCCTTATCTTTATATTTGCTAAATCAAGAATCAGATCTGCTTCATTCACCCTATTGAGCAATTTGACTTCATTGAAGTTAAATTGGTTGTTTTAACTTTATATTAGCCAATTTAACAATGTGGGCTTGCCCTCTTACGTAATTTTGAAGTTCGTTTATTGTTTGATTTATCTACTTCCACTTGTATAGGTGTTTTTTTTCAGTTGTTAGAGTTATGATTATAAAGTTAGAGAGTAATGATCCCCACCCACGGTCGGTGGACACATGTTAATATGTCCACCGCTTATGTGACATGCACGCATTAGTGATTGATGTGTTACAACGTTCATTTTTTTGGTCTTCTTTAAGAATCATAATATGTGATGCCATTGTATTTGGGTATGTATGAATTAGTATGATTTTGTAGTTTTAATGTGAAATCAGATGTGATTGGCTTCTCAT